GGTGTGAATCCCGTGGCTCGCCTCGGTGTATTCCTTAGGCTCCAAATGATCGAGGGGAGTTCGGCAAGCCATTTCTTGCCAAACTTTTTCAACCGGTTGTAGATTCTTGGCTTGAGGCCTTGTAGGATCATGCCGCTGGCACGCTCTACTTGGCCGTTTGTCCTAGGGTGTCCTACGGCCGACTGCACCACACGGATGTGGTGGTTGTCGCAGAAACGTCGTGAACTTGTGGCGGTGAATTGCGCCCCCATTGTCGGTGATGATGGTATTTAGGATTCCGAACCTGTGGATGATATCCGTAAAGAACATCACTGCTTGCTCGGATTTGATTTGGGTGATTGGACGAGCCTCGATCCATTTGGAGAATTTGTTGATGGCTACGAGCAGATGGATATAGCCCCGGGTGCTCTTTTCCTCAGAGGCTCAACCATGTTCAAATTTCCACACGGCGAATGGCCATGTGATAGGGATGGTTTGAGGGCTTGGGCAGGAGGTGCGCGTCTATCGAGCGTAGTATCATCGCATCCTTCGCAGGAGCGCATTAGCCCCATGGCATCACCACCGCTGTTGGCACAAGAGAAACCTTGGCGGAAGGCGCTTCCCACTAGCGCCGGTGCGCCAAGCAGTGCCCGCAGCTCCCGCATGCAAGTCCCGAGAAAAGGGGGAAATCCCTAAGTCCCGAGTAGTGATTGGCCAGCCTCGTGGTGATGCACCATTGGAGAATACCAGATGGGCTACGCCTATACAACTCGCCGCTTGCAGAGGGCGTAAGTCTTGGCCTCGGCCTCGCCCACGGAAGCTCTCCCATACGAGGCGATCAAGAAAAGGGGCTCGCCATTGCTCTCGGTCGGCCCTCGGGAGGTTCTGAACAATTGCCATGGCCTCGCCCTCGCGGCGGGTCTCGATGGCAAAGGGGCCTCGGGCCCGTGGTGGCTCGCCTGATGGGCCCTCTACCGCTGTAAAGTCATAGTCGACGGAAGGCTTGTGGAGGTCTCTGGCGAAGACGTTCGGGGGACCGGGTCCGTGCCGACGCCATCTTTGCCGCCTCGTCCGCGGGCTCGCTGAACTTTCGTGGCGATGTGATTGAGTTCGAGGCCATCGAACTTGTCCTCTAGGCGACATACCATCGTGCAAGACGCCCATCTTGAGGTCGTGGCGCTTTGATTCTTTCATCACTTGGTTGATGACAAGGTGTGAATCGCCTCGAACGCCGAGACGCCGTACTCCCAAGTTCAATGGTGATCTGCAGTCGCTGACGAGGGCCTCATATTCGCCACATTGTTGGAGGCGGCGTAGTAGAGTCGGATTACGAGCGCATATGGACTCCGAGGGTGAGATGAAGAGCGACTACCAGCCTTTGCCCGGTCTTCATCGAGACCTGGCTCGAAGTACATGGTCCAAAGACTCACCGGACATGAATAGGTGGTAGTTGGTATCGGTCCATTCGCACAAAATCGCCAAGACCTGAGACTTAATGGCTTTTCGGGTGCGAAGATGTGGCTTCCCCATGAGTTCCACGGCCCATTTAGAAATCCTTCCCGAGGCCTCCCGGTTATGGATTATCTCCCCAAGGGGAAAGATGACACCACGGTCACCGGGTGGGACTCAAGTAGTGACGCAGCAACTGCGCCGAGCCAAGATTATGGCGTAGATTAGTTTACGGACGGGGGTAGCGGCGTCTTAGTATCGGAAAGCACCTCGCTAATGAAGTAGACAGTCGTTGACTCTGTAGAGCATGCCCTTCCCGCTTCCTCGACCACTACGGCCGCAACCGACCACTTGGGTCGCTATGCGGCGACGAGAGCAAGAGGGCCTCGCCTTCGATCGGTGGTACCAGAATCGGGGGGTTGAGAGCGCAACTTTGAGTTTGGTGAGTGCTTCCTCGGCCTTGGGGGTCCAGAAAGCGCCAGATTTTCTCAAGAGACAAGAGACAGAGGTAAGTCTCGAGAAGGCCCCGAGTTCATTGTGGACTCGCCGCCCGTGGTAGAGGGCTCGCATCGCTTCAGACCAATATTACTACCAGAAGCGACGCTCGCTAGCGCGATTGAAGACACGGGGTTGCTCGCCGCCTCATCATCGCCGCACGCGGCGGCGACGCCGCGAGCCCCACCGCCATTCCGCCATCGCCATATCTTCTCGCCGCTTTTGCTCGAGGGTGGCTCGAGTCACTGCAGAGAGAGAGTCGATCTTGCTCGACCTTGGCTTGAAGCTCACGGAGCCGCTTTCTAGGTCTATGCGCCGGTTGCTCGGGGGTGGGGACACTGCCATCACCGGCGGGACCCCGTGCGTGGTGGTGTGGCATTGGTCGCCCTTCCTCCATCGCTTGCCCGTGCTCGGCATTCCGAGTCCCGATGTGGAAACACTCACGAAGTCGGGTCATAAGCGCCCTCGCCCGCCGGAATCGGAGTAGCCGGGCGAGAGTCCTCACGATCATGAAGCGGCGCGACGCCTCGTGGTCGCTAAGCCCGGAGAAGTTCTGCTTCAACCCACGCCTGCCCTCCTCTCCGAGGAGTCGAGCACGGTGGATTGGAGTTGTGACTATGGGGTTATGGGCATGACGTTGATGAATGGAGACGAGGGCGGTGGCGAGGAGGCGGCGACATTGGTCAGCCCGGAAGGGTACGGGGATGGCGCCGCCGCCAGCTCTGCTCCGCCAGAGAGCTGGCTCCTAGGGGAGGAGGCAGATGTAGCTTGATGATGGGCGCCACCGCGCGCCATCGCCCTTTTCCCCTGCCGAGGCTTAAGCCGGACAGGTCCCGTCTGGGGACTCACCAGCCAGCTGGGTATGGATTCCGTGGAGCATGATCGGGCGTCAGACTTCTGCGCGGGTGTTAGGGTGGATTTACCAGCAAGCGCTTGGCGAAGCTTGACGGAGCGGCGGCGCCGGGCGCCATCCGCAAATTGCCGCCGTGCGATGACGCTGCTCGCCGGTTGATGGCGCCTGGGTGAGAGGAGTACAATGTCGCACTCATGCCCTAGAGACATGAATTTAGGCTCCCGAACCGCACGATCATCCCGAGACGCAACGATCGCACGGATCTCGCCATCCAAATCTGGTGGGATGACTAAGTCGACACGCAGAGACCCCTACCCGGCGCGCCAACTATCGCCGCGCTTGTAACCGGGGTCCTTAACCGACTAGTGAATTTGTGCCGCGTGCTCCCAATTCCGGATGGTGATGCAAAGGACACAAGGTTTATACTTGGTTCGGGCAATGGATGCCCCACGCCCAGCCTAGAAGATGTTCTTGTATTCATTGCACCGGGTGCTCGTAGTAGGGGTTACAAGCCGGGCCAGAGAGGGAGTTCGTCCTGATCTCGTGAGGGGAGGTGATATGAATTACGTAATGAGGCGTGTTGTTCGTATGCAGTATTCATGACTCTATCCGCCGTCCCCTAAAACGGTCCCGGCCGCCTCCTTTTATAGTCGTAGGGAGGAAACCAAGAGTACATAAGAGAGCAACACGTGGAGCGGACTATTCGATGATGTATTTACTCCTAGAGCAAAGATGGCGTTGTCGTGGAAGTTCCCGTGAGATGTCTAACCAAGATGGTCTCCATCGCAAGTAACATGTCGCGATCTGTTGGCTTGGTGGATTGCAAGGCTCGGGCGCCATCATAGCCGGTCGTCTTGAGAGACCACAGTGCCGAGGTTCGCTGCGTGCCGAGGCCTCGAGAAGTGACCCAGTGCGTATGCGGTCTCAAAGCCATCAGCGGAATAGTGTAGAGACGGGCGCCTCACGGGATACTGCACCGTATTGTCGAGAGGGATGGTAAAAAGGTGATCTCGACTGCTGTCCGCTTCCTCTGTAGCGCATACCGATCGGGGCTTATTACGTGAGCGGGTGCAAATGAGCGCATTAATCGGATGCGACACCGCCAGAGAGACCTTTGAGGCGAGACGACGAGGTTGCGGGACGAGCCCGCCCTCGCGTAGGCGCGAGCGTGGCCACCTGGTCTGGAGGCCACCGGGGTCTCGGGCAACGAACAGGCGAGGCGGAGTAAGATCGCGAATCCGAGGCCCTGTCGAGGGGGGCTCGGGCGAGACGGAGCGGGTCGGTCCGCCGATTCCGAGGCTACAGGAACCCGCTCGACTCCCCACGCTATGGCGTCCTTAGTGCGGGAGTTAGGCGCGATAAAGGGTCGGTAACCTCGCCTGCGTCGCGGCCACAGATGGCGAGGTTGACGCGATCGGGCGTAGTAGTCGGTCCACCTATCATCGCATCCAGCATCGCGTCGCCTCACGGAGTGGTTGGGCGCTGGATGCGACGCTCCGGTCGAGCGCTTTGGTCGAACAGCGGTCACGGGTTGGTCCCGAGCCGCCTCGCCATGAATCGGAGAATCGGCACTTCTTCCGAGGCCCCCCGGAGGAGGGGCTCGACGAGAGGGGCCTCGGTGAGGCGGGTCTCGGCGAAGTCGGAGAATCGCTTGCTCACTGGGGCTCGGCGACGGGTCTCGGGCGAATCGGAGATTTCGGCCGAGACCTCGCTTTGTTTATTCCATTGGTTCTGCTTTTTAGGGTCTAAGCAGCTTTTTCGATCTTTGCTTGGGGTACCCATTTTCTCGGTATCCGACACTCTGTCCCTAAAAAAAAATGCAAGGTTGTGTGCCACAATAAGTGGTTTACTTTTGACCAAATTTTTAGTAAATTATATTCATATTTATGGTTTTAAATTAATTTATTATGAGACTAAATTTTATAATTAATCTGATGATACTTATTTGGTATCATAAGTATGGATATTTTTTTATCTATAATTAGTCAAACTTAAAATACTAAAATATGATAATATGTTAGAATTGTATTCTTTTGGGGACGGAGGTAGCATTAAGCTTGCTAGCTGGTGTATATGCACACGGTGACCGCCGGCGAGCGTGCATCACAGCCATGGTCTTATGTTGTTTCGCAGGTGACGATGGTGTTGTACGAGACAGTCCGGCTGTACTGCGCGGTGCCGATTATCTCGAGGCAGGCGACGGCGGAGGCGGACCTCTGCAGGCATGAAGGTGCCCAAGGGCACCCGCCTGCTGATCCCGATCGCGATGCTTCACCGCAACGAGGAGGTGTGGGGCGCGGACGCCGGCGCGTTCAACCCCGCTCCGGTTCCGGGACGGCATTGGCAGGGCGGCGGCGCACCCGAACGCGCTGCTGTCCTTCTCCTGGGCCAGCGGTCGCATCGGGCAGGACTTCGCGATGCTGGAGGCCAAGGCCATGTTGGCGTTCATCCTGCGGTGGTTGCCGGAGTACGTGCACGCGCCGGTGGATTCTTCAGACGCTGCAGCCCCTCGAAAAGGGCTCCCGGTCATGCTCAAGCTCTTGGATGTGTAGTAGAGGGATTGGAAGCCATACTTGTCATAAAGTTCCATTTGAACTAAAGTAGGAGTACAAATTTCCTACAACGTTCATGTGTCACCTGCCAATCTGTGCTCTGCGATGTGATTCCTCAGTTTCGTTATCATATTTCACAATGGAATTATAATATTGTGATTTTGTGAATCGATGGGCCAGGTCCAATCATCTTTTTTTAAGAATGAAGAGGAGGTGGTTTGGCTTTGCTTGTCCAAAGTCTAGTGAGTTCAGGCGGCGTGTCTGGATTGGCTAGTCTAATCTAACATAATCCCTTACTTTCGTACTGGATTTTTCTGAAGTTTTCAGCATGTATGTTTTCTTTGCATGTTGCTATAGACGAGCTCATTTGGATCAGGGATGTCACAATCATGTGTATTGATTTTCTCATCTTGTCTTTTTATCACTTTCCCTGGTGTCTTTTTTATCACTTCACGCGCTCTAAGCCCGGCCCGCGCGCAGTTAGGAGGATTGGCCGCTATCTGAGCGGTACCACCGATCCTACCCTACTACCTATAGGGGGCGGTCCGTCCTACAGCCGCCCGAAAAGGAACCGAAGTAATCTTGAATAGGGATCCCTTGATGTCTTTTTTTTTAATCAGATAACATGCAATTTATTATTATTTGGCTATTGGCTACAAAAAAGTTGCTCACTGTAGTTATCCTTTTAATTGTACTAATTATCTCTTGAGAATTGTTACCTGAAACTTACAAAAAATTCAGACAACTAAGTTATAGCAATTCCATTATTTTAGAGTACTCATTATTTTATTTATGCGTGCTTTTTGCAGTTCTGCCGCAAGTCTCGGATCACATCATTGGCTTCTTCTATTCTACTACTAGGATTATGAGTCTCCTCAGTTGCTACAGAGCTAGAGGTAATGTGGTAGTGTGCTTTGATTGACAGGAATATAATATACAGCATATTAGTAGTCTGTAGTAGTTATGAAGGAAGTTGACCCATGTAGTTCAAGTGGCACACTTGTGGTTGTGTTTAGTGGGTTTAGTATCACCTTAAAAGTTTAGGAGGGTGAGAACCAGCTTATAAACGTTGTCGTTTCAGACGTGCAGAGCTGGGGCCATATAAGCAGTTTTCGACACAAGGTGTTACGGATGGTAATTCGGAGGCATCAAGCCATCCAAAGGACCATCGTGTCCCAGGCGTTCTATCCTGCGACGTCGTTCTTTTTTGGCCCGACCGCTCGGTCTTTTGGCGCGAGGGTTGGAGCACATGGACTCTGACGTGAGCACGACCCTGTGGCCTGACAGCACGATGTTGTCCATGGCGAGGAGCTCCGCCAGCACGTCCGGCCCGGCGCTGCTAATGACGCCTCCCGCAGGCACCGCACCAGCTCCGGCTCGTCGACCAGGCCGCCGCGGCCGACGTTGACGAGCACGCCGCCCTTACCAGCGCCCCCGGTCCACCACGTGCCGCGTATCCTCCGTCAGCGCGCACGACAGCACCAGCATGTCGCTGGCCACGCCGAGGGCGTGCGCCGTGAGGAAGAAGTCGTCATCTGCACGTGTTGACAGTTGCCCGCTGTCACAGTCGGTAGCCGAGGACGCCGCTGCAAACCACAGTTGACAGTTGCCTGCTCGGAGTCGGAAACGGCGACATCGACGGACCCACACGGACCCACCACACCAGCGACTGTGGGAGAGCAGAGCAGCCGCTGCCGCTGCATATATATATCCGCAGGGGCGTCGGAGGGGATTTTTTTTAAATTTTAACACTTTTTAAACTAATTTTAAATCTAATATTATTTAATTTTTTCTAAATCTAAGGACATTTTAGCGCGCCTATTGTCATGGCGCGCGGCAAAATGTCCGACGCGACATGCATGGTGGCGCTGGCGAGAGAGACGACGTATGGCGACGAATCAAACGACCGAGACGTGATGGAGGTTTGTCGCGCCACCAATCTTTGACACGGCAAGGACCACGGCGGCAGTCCTCGCACGCGAGACCCACTTCCACATGAGTAGTCAAGCGTCCGCGCTTCGACAGCCCTACTGCATGCAAGCAGCCATAGCGGCATCGATAGGCCTGCAGCCTCTGCTGCATGCATCGAAGCCTGTGTTCAAGCAGCACGAAACCAATAAAACATAAATATTTTATTTAAATTGGTATAATTTTAAATGATGTATTCATTTTCAATTCGGTTTGCACTAAAATATTCTAGATGATAAAACGAACAAAACTAGACCGCACGTGTTCTATGTTTTGAAGAATTTTATTTTAGTAGCAATTTATGCGTAAAAATGCTAGGTGATTTATGAAAAGTTGTTACCATGAAATACTAAATTTGCTATTCAAAAATATACTAAAAAGTTTTTACATGATATGAGTATGCGCATCGATTATTGCCATGAGAATATATTATATATTATTTACATAAAGATATTCACCCCTAAAAAAAGAGTAACGGACCCAAAAACAAAACAATCAGGAAGGGCAAATTATTAAAATAAACATTGCATAAGCTACATCAATTAGGGGACAAGTTATTATACAACACATTACAAAAAATCCAGAAACATAACTCGCACGCCAACTTGGGGGCATTTATTAAAAAAGTGAGGGTAGCGATACAAAAATAAGACGAAGCTGCAACCTTGGGGGTAAATTATTAGAACAAGCATTTACATAAGTTTGTCAACCAAAGGAGTAAGTTATTATAAAACCCATTTATAAGCCGAAAAACATGACCAAAGCAGCTTAGTTGGAGGGACATTTATTAACAAGACAAGAGTATAGCGACCCAAATAATACAAGTTGCACCTGTGGCAAATTATTAAAAGAAGCATTGCATAAGGTGCCAACTTTACGGTAAGCTATTATACAACTAATAGGTAGGATTTAGAATATATTCGAACCTCGGCTTTTGTATAATGACCTCAAGCATCCTTTTCGCTTCGGAAGGAGGGTTGTTTGTCGAGCCCTTCGTGCGCGAGCCTAGGTCACTGGTCTCTAAGCAAGGTTGCGTGGAAGAGCCCCAGGCCTCCAGGCTGAGCGAGAGGGCGATCGAGAGTTCCCGGCTTTTGCTGCGATCCTCGCGCATCCTTTACGCTCGGAAGGAGGGTGGAACATGCCGAGGCTACCCTCGGTGGGCGCGAGCGAAGACATTTTGGTGAGCTTTTATCGGGTAAGTCCGGAGTGGAGGCACATGCCCCCATTCGATAGGGGTCGGCTAGTGGTCGGAACGCACGCTCCAAAAAAAGTACCAGAAGGCTTCCTCTAGCGGGTGCCAGGCTGCGTTCGATTGGCCCTAGGGGCTCAGTGCCTCCCACGGTGGGATCCCTTTAGAGAACTACTGGCTGTCTCGGACACGACTTAGGGCAACCCAAGCAATCGCTTGCCTAGGCTCTCGGCGTGTCTGTGCTCGCCCATAGTTGACCTGACTCTGTTGTCTGGGGCGGTCGAGCCCCTAGATGACCCGACCTTCGTACCCTGGACCATAATGGGCTTGGTGCCCTTTTCCACCGTCAGCGTTTTCCGACACTCGGGGGGTGAGAGGTTGAGGAAGATCCCGAGCCTCCACTTGCGTAGCGAGAGGCGTGATCGGGAGTTCCCCTGACTTTTATGCGACCCTCGCGCATCCTTTTTGGCTCGGAAGGAGGGTTGTTTTTTTCGAGCCCTTCGGCGATGCGAGCCTAGGTCGGCTGGGTCTTAGCAAGGTTGCGGGGAAGAGCCCCAGAGCCTCCGCCGCGTATTAGCGAGAGGGTGATCGGGAAGTTCCCCTGGCTTTTATGCGACCCTCGCGCATCCTTTTTCGGCTTGGAAGAAGGGGTTGTTGCCGGAGCCCTTCGCGTCTCTGAGCTTTCGTCATTCAGAGTCTCGGCAAGGAATGCACGAGGAAGAGCCCGAGCCTCACTTGCGGAGCGAGGAGAAGCGATCCAAATTCTGGTTTTTATCGACCCTCGCGCATCCTTTACCGTTCGGAGGGATTGTTTTGCGAGCCCGCCGTTATGCGAGCCTAGGC